GGTCAGTTCATCGTCGAATTGAGACCAGATAGTGAGGTCGGACGAACAATCGGATGACAACCGCCGTCATGGCTAAGCAGTACCATACCCAGCACTCCGCCGTCATCTCCACCGGGTTTCCCATATTCGTGACAGGATGCAGCCACGCCGAGCCAAACCGAACCGTTCTTCGTATACCCGATTCGATGTTGGCGTCGATGCCGTTGACCCCGAGATCTACCATTGATGTTCGTTGAGAGCGTTCATCGGAAGTTGCGACTCTGAAATTCGACTGCGGCGATGCGCCTTCGTCGGCATGAGAGGGGTTCATAGAATTATAAGACTCGATAGGAACTTGAGCTGGCCGCCGACTAGTTCTAGGCTCGGCAGGTCCCTGGCCGCTTCCGGCAGGCTGCCCGCCGAGTGCCAGGCAAGCCAGAACGACTCGAGGGATGGACGGGCACTTGCCCCCAACGACACAAAGGCCTGTAAGCCCGGATCGCAACCTAGAAGCCACCCGCGCAATGCCATGCTGTCGTTTTGGAGGGGATGCCAAAGCTGGAGCTATCTGTGTCCAAACAGTTGCGTGTGGGCGCGAGACAAACGGCGACGAAGGGAGGCCCGGCGGCTCGGTCGAGGCTGATCATCTCCAACTTTGCGCCGGAAACAGCCAACGCCCATATCGACATGGCTTTGAGGCGTAGCACTAGCTACTCATGGGATAGCTCTCGGGAACTGACTTTCGCCTCTTTCCTCTCTTCTCTGACTCTTGGGGTGCCCTCGTGCACAACATGCTCGCAAGACAAGGGATATCATCGAATACCGACCCGATGGCCGTTTACCCAGGAGGGTGGTAGAGACAAATAAACCGCCGAAAGCAGGCGCAGTTTTGCTTCCAGCCTCACTTTCGGAGTTGACGCCGCCTCCACGAAACAGTAATCACAAATAAGGCCTGGAACACAGACGGAGAGGTAATTGCCCGTTACTCCGTCTTCTTCTAATTGTTGCCTGTCTGGGTATATTCGATAAGCCTCACAGCTAAGGCCTGCTGGTTCCACGTCTGCACTCTCAGAGGTGGAAAGGGCGAATGATAGGACACCAACGCAACAACAGCAGCGACCCGTTTACAGGTTATTGCTTGCTTCCTTGTGCGAGAGGTATGCCGCGTTGACCGGGTGGAACTCGGACACACGAGGTTATTTCTCGATGAACTGCGGCTGTGATGGATGAAGTCAAAGCCTTGCTCCCCGCAGCTTCCCGCTCTGCAGCCGCTGGCACATTCCGCGCGGGGGCCATGCAGCCAAAAAGGGCGGCACCGGTTGCAAAGTCGACGCAGAGCGGGAGCACCAATTAGTGGGCAATTAGGGTAATCACAGCGCACGCCCGGTTCAGCGTGGGACTTCTTCTCTTGGAACCCATTGCAGCTGGCAGTAATAGGTGTAGTCGGCCGCGATGTGATTCGTTCGCATATCCTGCAGGTGAGATTGGATCGAGGGCATAGGAAAGCCAACTGGAACGGCGGAGACGGGATTGGTGTGTTGAAGTTGGCAGATCATCCTGAACGAATGCCTGTGGGGGAACGGTGCCAAGGACGTCCTTCCTACAGGCCAGGTGACGGCGAATCGGCTGTCTTGCACAGATGACCAGGCCTCAAGCAGGGTGGTGGGCATCTCGTTCTTCAATGCCGAGTCGCAATGTTGGGACCTTGAACCCGCTTAAGATTGCCGCATCGTTATCCAACCAGCCTTTGGCGCGCGACCCGTTTGCCTGCGAACAGCGTGAGGAAGCGTCGACAGAAGACATTCGGAGCTTTCTTACCTGAGGGAGTTTGGGTGACGACGACAAGGCTCGGAGGAAATAGTAGCCGTGGGCGACTAGGTAGGTATTTGATTATGGTTAAGTGGGTTCGACCTAGAGATGGATGGACGCTCTTGTTTGACAAGTTGAGCGGAATTTCGACAGCCGCGCTAAAACGATCTGTCTGTACCGTCTTCATTGTTGCTTCTCTTGCGTTTCCGCGGTTCCATGCCTTGAGGTCGGCGTTCGGATATGTTCGCCGACAAAGATCGACATTGTTTGTCTGCTGCCATGCCGAAGATGACGTCTGGAAGTTGACCTGGTGGATGCAAATGACGGAGGTGAACAGCAGGGAATGTCGGCCATGTCCTAAAAATGGTATAATTCATGCCGCGGGACGCAACCTTCAGGAGTCCAGAGATGCGAGGTTGAGACAAGGTTGACTGTCGAAATGCAGCTGCAGAGGTAATGACATAATTCTCAATCTTCAAATGGCCTGGCTGAAGACGTGATGAAGTTCGGACCACTTGCAGCGGGTGCAGTAAGCTTTCAGCGCAGGCTTGATTGACCTCGAGGGTCGAGACGTGCAGGCACCGCAGTACGTACCGATTCGGGTTGGACAGACCGACAGGCAACCTAGCAGGGGGCTCTGGGCCCCCCGCCTTGAGCATCGAACCCCCACGAGTGTCGCACGCACGTGAAGGAGCCCTGCGGTTTTGTTCTAGAACTGCGTTACCTAAGGAAATGCCTGGGGGGGTTGGTCCGCGGAAGAAGTCGGGCGCAACTGTTGATGACGGGCTTCATCGCATGCGAATGCTTCATTCGGTCTTCACATCTCCCGACTGAACGTTATCTGGAGCCGTCACGAGACACTCATCAGACGCACCCAGATCTGAATGAAAGAATGGCCCGAGAGAGGGGTAATGAGGGCGATCACTGGCATTCGGAGCCCGAGGCCGGTTCCTTGCCAGGTTCCATTGGGAAGGGCTCAGACTGTGGACTCGAACTGTGAGAGTCACGAAAGAACCCGATGTTGGATCTCTAGACAGGCAAGTACCGGTGGCGTTAAATTAATGCGAGCTGGACTGTTGTTACTCTGACTCCATAGCGACGGTTACATCCAGCGTCTGGTCCCCGTTCTCGTACATGGCATGCGGCGGTGCAGTGCCCGATGCCGGCTGGGTACTATTCCCAATCTCCCGCAGCAGCTGTCAGTGTCAAGTCGGATGGCACCCCGACTCGAGGCCAGTGGACATGAATCCGCCGGCCGGGACGGGATGTGGTCGACTGCCCAGCGCCCAGCATGCGGGAGCCACCTTGGGCAGTTGACAGGTCAGCTTTTCGTCTTGGCTTTCCTCTTTTCTCCTGCCGCCGGTAATGTCTGTATTCGCATGTATGTTGTTTTCTGGATATATAGTCCGAACCACACGGGCGGGAGTCTGTTCACACACACGGATAGGCAGGACTCAGCACGCGGCTGGAGACTCACCGGCCTGCAGTTCGCTTGGCGACGAACTTATGTAGCGAGGCACCGGCGCCGTTACCGATAGGGGAGGGGTTCCACTATATTTAATAACTGTTGGCTAGAGTCCTCTGTTGATCGGGGCGCCTGGCCAAAGAAGGGTATCGTGTGAGAAATTTTCCCAGCCGTGATATTTAGCAGCGACTCTCCGCTCTCCTGACGGGGGAGTCGCGGGTTTGACAGAGGCGGGCGATGCTTCGGGCTTCCTCAACGGTTGGTCATCGCAGGCGATTGTTTCCCCGATATTCCCTCCGAGCCGAGGGGCTAAAACGAGAAGCTTTTCGTCCCATGGCGAGGGACGAGAGTGCAGACCGCAGAGGGACCAACCTAGTCAGGGTCTCGTTGAGCACAGACAGGACCCTTCAGTCTCGGATCGACTTGTCGGGGCAGGCAACTTAGTCAGGGCATTTACCACGGAAACCATTGGTGACTATGAAGTGGCTCGCACTCGAGGTCCTGGACTGTGGACATTGGTGTGCAGTTGAAGAGCATCCGGCCAAGTAATTACTCCTGCAGTTGGCCAGGGACATGATACTGAGGTAAGGTACCTAGGCATGCAGAAGGCCCTCCGCGTCTCCAGCGGTGCCTGATCTGATGGAGGCGGGGATTTCCGAACCTGACAGTGCGGGCAGTCAAAGAAAGACCGGACATGAAACCTCGTTAGGCAGTTGTTTCGTCTTCTCAGAATGGAAGCGTCAAATGCGCCCTGCTGCCCTGCCCTGAACGTCGTCCTCCTGTCCTGGTCGGTTTCTGCAACGGTGTGACGGGAGCGCAACACGTACCAGCTGCTTCATTCAATCTTCCACGGGCCATCAGCGTTCACTCATCAACCCAGGCTGTCCTTCTCTCTTCCCATTAAAACCGCGTGTCCGTCGGCAACGGTTGCTGCAGAAAAGAAAAAACATGGCTTCCTTGCTGCGCAGAAAGTGCTGGTCGAGTGCAAGGAAAACCCTTGGCAAGTTCAGTACGCTGGGCACGGTCCAGTTCCTCAAGTTAGCGACCCTCAACACCCTTGATAGTCCCAAAGCTTGGATCCGCCGACATGCGCAAAAAAAATGTGTCCACGGTCTCGCTGACCAGTCATGGCCCTCCAATGCCAGTGCAACTCAACCACCCATCCATCTGCATCTGGGCAGCCCATCCCATCCGCCTCCAGCGTCCATCCTTCTCTGCCCGGGGGTGTGTCCCCCCACCATTATCAGCTGCTCGTCCTCTGCCGCCGGCCGCTGCTCGCCGTCCTTCTGCCAGCCTCTCTCCACCGAGAGAGGCAGCTTTTCTCTGCTGCCACCCTCCCCTTCTCGACTTCATTCACCACCCGTTAACCAATCCGTCTGACGTCTCTGCTACCCAACAATCGAGAGAGATCACGTATCCTCACCAACATCTTTGGCGCGAAGCACTTGCGCTTCTCGCATTTGACATATAGGGCAGACTCCAACTGTCCCCACGCAACTCGAACACGACCCCACGACCACCTGCGCTGTGCATTACCCTTCTTCATGCGCAATCTACCGACAACCTCCGACCAACTGACTTTCCGAGCTACCTCTTCGACTATTGTTATTGATCAACTATCTCGACGATCTGAACCACTGAAAGTGAGCCGAGCGGAGAAAGGCCTACGAAAAGATTTTGGCGCATTGGTATTTTTGGAATTGGTGCTTCGGAACCCGAATTAGCGGCTCGGAAAATCAGTGTCGCCATGATGGACGCCGCATCTTGGAACCAAGATCCGGCCTTGGCGCCATCCCACGATGAAGAGTTTCAGCAGTTTCTGAACATGGGAGGCATGGGCAACTTGGGCGACTCGATGGCCTTCGACTTCAACGACTTCCAGTCCAGAAGTGGCTCCGGCATGATGCACCCGTCCGGCCGTGAACAGCTCGACACACAGATGGGAGGAACCGACGCCAATATGGTCATGAGCAACGCCAATGCCGCCATGCAGTCGCAGCTCATCAACATGACCACTGCAGCTGCGCACCCTGCCATTCCTACGCAACTGATCCCTCCGCCGACTCCCACGGATGCCATTACCGAAATCGATGCTCAGATCCAGTATCTGCAGCAGCAGCGCGTCCAGCAGCAACATCGCCAGATTCACGAGCAGCACGTCTACTACACCAACCAGCATGCGGTTCCCCCAACCCCGCAGAGTCTCGAAATGCCTCCCGCTAGTAATCAATTTTATTCGGATCAGAGCCGAACCCCAATGTTCGACAACCGGTACCAGCGGATGAAGGAGCAGCAAGATGTAAGGTGTTTCCGTTAACCACCCCGAAAGCCGCATCGCTGACTGTTTCAGATGGCCTTTACTCCTTTAGTGTCACCTGCCGTCACGCCGTTAGATCCCCATTTCCAGATGGAAGCTGGTGGCTTTACCATTCCTGGCGCATACTTCAGCCCTCTTACCTCTCCAGCCCTTCATGCGCAAAGTGACCAAGGGCTGTTGTATGACCGCCGCTCGTCTCTGTCGGCGCACAACTCCCCCGCCGAGATGGACGTTGAGACATCGGCAAACGCGCAGCCTGCGGCGATGGATTTGGCCAAGAAAGTTCGGAAGAGCAACGCTAGAGTAAAGGCCAAGTCGAGTGTTCGCCAGTCTCCCATTACAAAGCCTCAGCGGAAGAAGGCTGGCCCGACACCAAAGATGGTATCGCAAGCCCTCACTGAGATGCAGGAAGTGAACGAAGATGGGCTTGATCAGATGCTGCCTTCGACGGCCTTGCCTGCCCCTATGAGCAGCGAAGAATCCGAAAACGCATCAGTATCACCTGAGAACCTGTCCGACATGCCGCCCCCACCACTTCCCCAGAAGGCGTCGAGCAAATCTCCATTCATCCAGCCCCAACCTCAGCCCCAGCCGCACCCCGCGATTCCGGCTCACATCCAAGGAAAGCCCTCGCCCGCCACACCAGCTTCCCTCATGAAGCTTCCCTCTTCCAGCGCGAACAACTCAGCAGCGTCAAATCCTCAAGACCTTGGGCCTTCGGATCATATCGAATCCTTCGAACTTCCCGAGTCCGTCAACTTCAACTCAAGACCCCAGCCTCCACGAATTGATACGGCAACACCGACCCAGTCGCCGTCAGATCCTGGCTCGGCTAGGGCTTCGTCGTTCCAGCCGCTGCCATCTCCCATCTTTGCGAAACCGACTGCCGCTGCTTCAGCGAGCGCAAGCCCGAACCTCGCACCGGGCTCCACGGGTCCCTCGGCGCGCAGGACGCCCCAACTGTTGGCAGGGGGAAGCAAGGGTGGCGGGAAGAGGGGAAGTGTCAGCTCGGTTCACGTCTCTCCTGCTCTGCGACCCAGGATATCACCTAGCATCAAGCCGCTTTTGCCTGGCACGCCCGGCGGAATGTCCGCCGAGGATACAGCCTCCCGCCTTTTGGCTTCCAAGTCAAACTACCAGAACATTCTCGAAGGCAACACTGTTCCTGGCGTCACTTACCCGAGCGAGTTATCGACGAATCTCACATCCAAGCGCACATCCCACAAGATCGCGGAACAGGGCCGGAGAAATCGCATCAACTCGGCCTTGCAGGAGATCGCAACACTCCTTCCTCAGCCGCCAAAGGAGTCGGGCGAAAGCGACAGCGCGGACAAGAAGGAGAAAGACAAGGCGGGAGGCGCGCCGAACAGCAAGGCCAGCACTGTCGAATTGGCGATTGAGTATATCAAACAGCTCAAGCAGGAGGTTGCCGAGGCCAACAAGAGGGCCGAAGAGCTCGAGAAGAAGCTGGAGCGCATGGAGCCGTCAGGAAGCACGGAAGCTGTTGAACAAAAAGAAAGCTCGACAGAGTAATGGGTGCGCATTAAGGGTGGCTTATGGAGCCTTCGGCAGCGGGATATCCCAACAGGCACGATATATACGAGGTAATCTAGGAGCATCGATGGCGGGTTATTTGGATTTGTATAATTGCTAGGTTTATGTGGCCATGTAAACGTTATATACCATGGCGAAAATAGGTGCGAAAGGATTGGCTCATGTTCCAGACCTCGATCTGGGCATAGCACACAGTAGGATTGACACCTTGTGATCATGGACTATGTTCCAGGCGTCACAAAAGTCGTCGCACAAAGTGTGGCTGTATATTGGGTATCACAAATGTAAAAAAGAATAATGATGCATCGTTCCTATTTCCCGTCGCACGTGGATGCGATTTGATTTTTGTCTCTCCCCTCCGACACTGACGTCCGAACCCCAAGACAACCCAGCTTCCGTAAAACGCCGGCGTGACACACGCAATCATTGGCTGTCCCGGTTGTGTTCCAGAACGTCGACGTCGAGCTCCTCCATGACCTCCACGACGAGGTTGAGGCTCTCCATGAGGCCGTTGACGGAGACGCGGAGCATGCGGTTCGTGGTCGCTTTGTAGTTGACGCGGAGAATGGCAGATTCGGAGGAGTTCTCCTCGATGGAAAAGGTGCGTCTGACGAGCGGCGAGAGCTCCTTGTCGACGGCGAGGGCCTTGTGGGCGACGGAGGCCAGGCGCGGGGTAGGGAACGGGACGTCGATAGTTCTGCGGAAATTTGTCTTAGCTTTCTTTTTGTGATTTTCGTCGGCTTTTCTTTTTGTCGCAAATGACACAATGCGCGACACACCTTGCACGGGCTACAATGCGACAAGTGAGAGTCGGGAACTTACAATGAGCATGGGAATTCGGTGTCAATTGCGTTGTCCATGGTTGCGGTTTTTGCGGGAGTGGATTGGGTTAAGTGTGGGTAGGTACAGTGTCGGCGCAAATGTTTGGAGGGGTTCAGGAATGGGGGAAAAAAAAGTTGGTGTTTGGCTGTCGGTCTTTACAAAGTCGTCATTGGAGCTGGCGGCGGCAGCGCAAAAAAAAAGGTGTCCCGCCCACCCGATGATGGCTCACCGCGGGACGGGATGGGATGGGTTGACCGGGACGGGACAGGACAAGACAGGATACACAAGGACGGACAAACTCCTTCTAGATGGCAGCGGACAGCTCAGATCAGAAGAAGACAAGGTGCCCCGCCATTCCACGAGGGTGACACCAGACAGCGCATGCGCACAGGATTGCTGCGTCGACAGGTACTGCGCAAGACAAGAAGCCGTGCAAAGATACCTTGCGGGCAGCTTGCAAGGTGCGGTCGGTTGATGCGGACCTGGGCGACGTGGGGTTGCCTAGGCGCTGGGCTGGCTGCGGCAGCGCAAGACTCAATGCCGCCCCCCCGATAAGCAAGGCTAGACTCAAGACGGCGCGAGGGATCACTGCGAAGGGCACTGAGGGGCAGTGGACATCGATGGATTTGTTTTGATGGGTGTTCAGACTCCTTCGTGGGCGACAGTCAGTGGTTAAACAGCCGTCAAAGAGCTGGTTCGGGTTTAGAGACATGAGCTGGAGGCGGGTGCGGTTGCCTGAGGCGCTGAACCACGTCGAACGATTCGTCAGGAGGCGCGGGTGGTCTGTGCCTCCCCTTGCTGGTTGTCTCGACAACGGCTGGCAGCCCGGCAGCCAGCAACCAAGCTTCTCCGTAACAACAGTCGACCCTTGCTGTTTTGGGCCGGCCCCATATTGACCGCTTCAGCCAAAATAACAGCAAACCATACAAAAACACCTGCATCGGTCGCTCCTTACCTTTGGAATACCTTCCTGTTCACCATCTCGTACTCTCGCCAAAATCTCTTCAATTCTTGCGCTGCCGCAGGAAAGCGCCGCTTTAATCGCCTCTGGGTTGGATTGATTGCACTCTGCCTTCGCTTCATCAGAAATACCTCCCTGGCTTCGCCGCCAACTACAGATCTTGTTGTTGTTGTTATTGTTTCAGACCCGACGATTCCAACATTCCTCACCCGCAGACCAACACACTTCGCTCGCACCCGCACCTCCGTCGCTGCCTTCCCTGGATCGCGCATTACTTTGCATACAAAGAGTAGCCTCGCCTCTGGATAATTTCGGCACCTGCCTTATCCTTTCCGAACCAGGCCCGCTTGCACCTGCATCCAAAAGAAGGTCCCGTCGCAAGAGCAATTGCCTCATCCAAACATCATCAGAGGAGACTGAGAGTCACGAGACCAATGGCCCCTTCTTCTAAGAGCCCAAACATGGGCCAGGTTATTGAGTACATCCCAGGTAAGCTTCCCACCCCTTCTTCGGACCTCAACCGTCCATTCGCATCATCGCCATCATGTCGCATAATTACCCTGCGCGGAGTCGGCATTCAAGATCGTCGCACAGCGACTTGAGCGCAACGCCTTCCAGCACGAGCGCAGCATCGCAGCAGATCCATCCCTACTTTTATTGCGCATACTTCCCGATCTCATTTCTGACTGTACTCTCAGACCGGCTTTACCTGGCTGCGTACATCCACCCTCCCACGGCCGAGACCATCTTCCCCTACGGCGAGCCCGTCCAGACCTCCCCCAGGAAACGATCGCAGAGAGCCGCCGAAGGCCCTACCCCCATTCAGTCTGCCGCCGTCCGCCCTACGCCTTACTACTTCTCCGTCGACGACACCCTCCTGTACAACGCTTTCCACCACGACTTCGGCCCGCTGCACATCGGTCACCTATACCGCTTCGCCCTGCAGTTTCACGATGTGCTCGGTGCCAAGGAGAACAAGGATCGCCCCATCGTCTTCTGGAGCAGAGCTGACCCCAGAAGTGAGTACCAGTCTCAGGGTGCGATGAAAACCGGTCACTAACAGTCGCCCAGGTCGCGCAAACGCCGCTTGCATGCTCGCCTGCTACATGGTTCTCATCCAAAACTGGCCGCCTCACTTGGCTTTGGCCCCCATCGCCCAGGTCGACCCCCCTCTGATGCCCTTCCGTGACGCTGGATACAGTCAGGCCGACTACGGCATCACCGTTCAGGACGTCGTCTACGGCGTGTGGAAGGCCAAGGAGGAGGGCTGCTGCGCCCTGGACAACTTCGACCTTGACGAGTACGAGAAGTTCGAGAGAGTTGAGCACGGAGACTTCAACTGGATCACACCACACTTCCTGGCTTTTGCGTCGCCCCAGCACACCCCCGTCGCCAAGGTCATCGAGGGCACTGAGGAGTGGGATGAGCTCCCCAAGAGCATCGGACAGGTGGATGCCAACAAGGCGCTGCCCCAGCCCTTCAAGAACGTCCTGAAGCACTTCACTGAGCGCAACATTGGCCTTGTTGTCCGCCTCAACTCTCCCCTTTACTCTCCCTCATTCTTCGAGTCCATGGGCATCTCCCACCTGGACATGATCTTCGACGACGGCACCTGCCCGCCTCTCACAACCGTCCGCAAGTTCATCAGGTTAGCGCACGAGACCATCACCGTCAAGAAGAAGGGCATCGCTGTCCACTGCAAGGCCGGTCTGGGCAGGACAGGTTGCCTCATTGGCGCCTACCTCATCTACCGCCACGGCTTCACCGCCAACGAGATCATCGCCTTCATGCGTTTCATGCGCCCCGGCATGGTCGTCGGTCCCCAACAGCACTGGCTGCACATCAACCAGGGTATCTTCCGTGAGTGGTGGATTGAGGAGCGCATCGAGCGCAAGCTCCGCAAGGAGATGGCTGCCAACGCTGCTGTCCCCAGCACCCCCATCCGCGCCATGCAAAAGACTTCCCTTCGCAACGGCCAGGCCTCCACACCTCCCCACCGCAGCACATCAAACAGGACGCCTCTGAGCGAAGTCGACCACGACCGCAATAACATTGGGGCTCAGGAAGACTATCTCCCGGCACCAACACCAGGACAGCCAAGAAAGACCAACAGGGCAGGTGCAGACCGTCATCATCCCTACCAAAGAGCCCCTTCATACCACGCAACCGTCGATGAGGAGGGCGCCATCCACCAGGAGACGGAAGTAATTTCCGTTCACAAGCAGTCTCGCGGCCCCAACGAGTCGGACGAAGAATGGGACATTAGGATGCGCACACACAGGAAGACCTCGCAGTCGCCTACTCGCAGCGAAAAGCGATCAGTCAGCCACTCCGCCGCTACTGTGTACCAGACGTACATCGACAACGATGCCAGCAACGATGCGGAGAACATCGGGACACAACGCGTCAAGAACCTTGGAGACCGCGTTAGCAGCGCATCAGGTGTCCTCACCAAAGTTCGTGGCAGCAAGCGTTCGGGCGATTCACCATTGAGAACCAAGGAAGGAGTACGAAAGACGAGTGGTCGGGTCGGCAGCGTGGGCAGCTCAGCCATGTCCGCGACGGCCGCCTCAACCGCGCGCAAAGTTTCTGGCGCGTAGGAGCGCCAGAGACGTCTCGTTCGTCCAGGACTAAGAGTCACTTCCGAGGACCACTAGGTGCTTGCCGATAGCTTACTAACCACTTATGATGATGATGATCACGACCGGTCCATGTCGATCTGCATGTATTGGCGTTGGGTTCTGGCAACCTTGGAGATTGCGGCAAAGGGGAACTGGTGTTCAATGGGAGGAAATCCAGCGTTGGCTGGAATGATGTCTACGACATTGCGAAATGATGATGACGATGATGGTCACTTCGGCGTATCTGACGAGGGCTTTTGCATCTTCTCTCTCTACCTGCCCAGGCATTCAATGCATATATACCAGGGCTGGCACGGCAGCCAGCCGGTTCAAACTGCTTGGAGGGTTTCTCACAAACGGCGTTCATGGGGCATAAGGGTGTTGAGTATTGTAATTGTATTTGTTGTTTGTTTGCTGTTTTCAACATTATTTTTTTGGTCGTTCCGTGCGCATGGGCTAGAGGCAGAATGGAGAGGTCGGGATGGCAGGCAGTGGCAGTGGGCATGCCTCCTCCCGGAGAGATGTCGTGAGCATCATCGTCAGAATATGATGGATACGCTTTCCCCGCTTGATTT